ATGATGTGGGATTTTTTTTTTCTTTGATGGCATTTCGCACGAGCCCAGAATGAACTCAGATTGGCCGTCCTCCCCCCTCAGCCCCCAGAGAGCTAGGATCATGGCGTGCACCATCATGCCCGGCCGTGGTCTTTCTTTGAATAATTTCTTTATTCATGGCATGTAAAAAGTAAAACACTCAGTTACATACCTTGAAGATACAATGCCACAGGATAAACGTTCCTATTCCAAAAGGCAGAACCAGAGGATAGAAACAATGGGACCAAAGCAGTCTTGCAACCCAGCAGGCAAGCGTGAAATTCATGCCAGCACCCAGGACCGGCTGTAGTAAGGTGTGGACTCCAGATGCCTTGTGTGGCCCCAGCCCTGTCGTCTCTCTCGGGCAGATTCTGCTCGCTGCCTGCAGCTTGCTCAGCAGACACTGCGCGTTCCTGGCATCTCCCACTTCCTGAGGTCTCCACTGTACTTTTGACTTTACTTTCACAGCTTCACACACTGCTCTTTCAGGGTCACACTGCCTGTCCTGGCCTCCCAGGCCTTTTGAAATCCGAGTGGATACCATCCTGACCCTATAGCTTTCACATTCTGCATGCATCCAAGAGCAGCACCATGTAGCTGGGGTCACTGGCTTGAACAGCAGCCAGGCCACCTTGGACTGTGGATGCAGAGGCCTCTGAGTGCTTACATGGTTTAACAATGTGAACCAAGTCCTGGGAAACTAATACCCTAGGCAGCCGTTTTTAAGGAGGGTGCCCTGGAGTTATCTTCTCAAAGCAAAGTTTTTCACTTTTACACCATTGAGCCCACAAAGTGTAAGGTCTTACGGTTCTTCACATAGCCTCAAGGGATCTTGTCTTCCTTATTGTCCTGATGTAAAGTATGAGACTTATTTTTAATGCTAGTTTTTTCAGCAACCAAGCTCTCTTCTGCTCCAGCGTTACAAGCTCTATCTTTTTGGCGAATCTGAATACTTTTGAAATGAGCCTTTGTACTTGTTTCTCAGTGTAAATCTTCCTGATCAGTAACCATCCTATAGCTTGAACGTTTATCTGTCCTGGAACTTCTTCTCCCAGATGAACTGCTCTGCCACACTTAACCTCAGTCTCCCAGAAAACCTTAGGACATAAGCAAAACATAGACAGATTCTCTTGCAGAGCGTAACATATGTGAGCTCTAGTCCAACTGCCAATGGAGTCTTTGTGCTTTGTGTCCACGTGAACCTTCCTGAGTGTAGTCCTTAACATCTGCATTTTCATTAGCATTCTGGTCTTCTGGGCTGTGACTTGAATCTTCTGTTAAGTTCAGCTGACTTCTGTGTCTCCAAACCTTCCCAACTCCTTCAGTGAACCATTTCTAAAGACTTCTAAGCTTCGTGGTCCTGTATTCCCAGCAGCAACCAAATCTGTCTAAATGGCTTTCTCATCCCTGGACACAAGACCCAACATGCACAGCTTAAGGAAGGGACGTTTAGTTTGGTTCCTGGTTCCAGTCTGTATTGCACTTGCTCCAAGACAGAACAGTGTAGCAGAGGAGCATAGTTAAGGAGAATTTGCTTCCATCCTGGCAGTTAGGAAGCAGAGAGAAAAAGAAGGAGCTGGGAGGCAGCTGCACCCTTCCAGTCTCGGCCCAGTGAGCCTCCTCCCCTGACCAGGCCAGGGGAGTGCTTGCAGGGTCCCTTGCTCTTACAGAAGCCCTGCCCCTGAGCGTGGGAGGCTCGTGGGGGACAGCTAGGTATGAACTGTAATGTGCCCCCATCTTTGGAGACTCTTCAGGGACCATGCTTCCTCTGAGCCAGATCTTCAGAGGAGCGGTGCTGCTAGTATCTCTGCAAGCATGTACTCCGTCACACCTGTATTCATGACCTGGTGAAATTTTGCTAAATTCCTACCTTAGGGATATTACTCTGTGAAATAATATGATGAGATGGATGCCTTAAAAGTTGTAAAACACAGTTCTTGCCTAGTAAGATTATCTCACATAATTGGGATATTGGTTTGAGTCCTAGAGGTAAATTATAACACATTCAAAGTCTGACAAGCCATCTCTTTTTTTCTTTCTTTTTTTTTTTTTGGCAGTACCAGGGATTGAACTCAGTACCTTGCACTTGCCAGGCAGGCGCTTACGCCACTGAGCAATATCCCCGGCCCCTGACAAGCCATCTCTAAAAGAAGAAGTAGATATACTAGGATCAGCTATTATTAGAAGTCATCCTTAACTTTTGTTTTCCATAGTACAGGCCCTGTTGAGTGCATTCTTAACACAGGGAGATTCTGACCGTACCTTCATCACTTACATGCTGGGGTGAAGCATCATCTCTCACCTGGCTTCATGAAGTAGTCTCCTGATACATTGCTTTGCTTCTCTTTTTACTGCTCTGCTGTCTACCCCAACACAGTCTCAGTGATCCTGATAAATTGCAGCCAGATCATGCCCCTCCTCTGTCCAGCTCCTTCCAGGAGTTTCGTGTCTGAGAGTAGAAGCCACAGTCTGACCGTGCCTTGCCCCTCTTGTTCCTGGCCTCTGCTTACACTGCCCTCTGCACTTCCCCACACCAGCCTCCTCGCACGCCTCAGGTTTTCCAGCCTGCTGCAGCTCACCCTTCAGCTGATCATGACTCGCTCTGCGTGGATGCCAGCATTTCAGTTAGTCCTCCCCTGACTGTCCTACTGCAAAGTGCCATCTGCTGCCACACGTGCCTGCTCATCTCCCCGCCAGCCCTGTTTCCTCATAACGCTAGTCACCTTCCAGCTTACTAATGAACTGCGTGTCCCGATGGCTTGTAGTCTTTTTCCCACTACTAGAATGTGGACTCCGCAATTTCTGCTTTTTGCTTGCTTGTCTATTCGCTCCTTTTGGTTTTGCTTGTATTGCTATGTGTGGGCCCTTGAGGGTGTTTAGAATAAAATATTTAGTGTATTTTTATTGAATGAATTTATTCATACATTTGTACACTGAGGAAAACAAAGAGCAGATCCCTGTGACTTAGCGTTCAAGCGCTGGAAGACAGCCCGAGCCCACAGAGGGAAGAATGGTGCCAGAACAAGGGGCCACTGAAGTCCAAATTCTTTTTCTTCCTTTTGGGCCGTTAGCAAGTTAGACAGCATATGTCAAGTAAGAAGCAAGCCCAAGAATGCATTGCCGGATCACAGTTCTTAAAGTGTGCACTGTGTTTGTTTATTTGCTTAGCATATTTGGATGTTACAGGGTCTCACTATGCAACCTGGACTCGTAGTGATCCTCCTGTTTTCAGCCTCCCTGGTGCTGGGATTACAGGCATGTGCTCCTTTTGGTTTTGCTTGTAGTGCTATGTGTGTGCCACCACGCCCGGACTCTGTAGCTGGCTCAGCTCACCCTGGGGGTGGGGCTGGCGCAGCATGTGGTGCCAGAGATTGAACTGCAGTCCCTGTGCTTGCCTAAGCTTGCCTAAGCAGGCACTTCAGTCTGCTGAGCTATCTCGCAAACCCAAAATGTACACTTTCTTAAATGAAGTGTACCTCCTTCCTATGGAGGCTCATCCTGTGGCTGTACATCAAACCAGCTTGTCTGTAGTACACAGAGGATGGCACTGGCTTCTACATACGTTTTCTTTGCAGTAAAACCCTATAAATAATAATCTATTAAACCTTAACCTTCTCACCCTGCTCTTCAAATCTCAGCCCCTTGGTTCTCTGGTTACTTTTATCTTTGATCACTTATCACCTGCACTCTTCTGTGGATGGGTGAGGACACCCCACAGCTGCTGCCCGCCTTGGGCAAGCTCCAGATCTAATAGACTAGTACATCTCTGTAGTTTGCCCTTTGGGAAACTAGTGTGTTGTTTGAAATCTTCATTACAGCCTTAGAAGACTTCTCTGCGCCTGCGCCTACTCTTGAATTCTGCCTGGGGTGGGAAATGGGAATGGGTGTGCTTTCCTCCTGACTCTCTTTGTCAGGAGAGGTCCTTCGTGGCTCAAGATGTGAGACCCCAGTCTGTGTCTCTAAAAAGCTCAATATTCCTCAGACCTTCCATGGACCTGGGTTACCCATTGGGATATCTTTTTAGATCACTGTAGCATCATGGTTTTACTGAATTAGCAAACTTTTTGAAGACTTACTATTTGAATAATCAGAATTATTTGAATAATTATTCAAGTAATAAGATTCAAGTTGTTAATATAAAATAGACCATCTAGGAAGTTAGGATTACAGAGGTTTGTGTTTTAAATTTTTGAAAGAAAAGGTCTTAAAAAGTACTTAATTGTCACCCTGCATTTAGTGAACTCTACAAAATTCAGAGTTTTATTATTTGCCTAGGGCTGCCAGAACAAATACAAATCAGTGGCCTAAGCCGGGGAAATTTGTGGTCTTACAGTTCTGGATACTACAATCCTAGAGAAATCTGGAGGCCAAGACGTGGGCTGGCTGGCTTCCGTCTAGGGACTGAGAGGAAATATTCTGGTCAGGCCTCTCCCCTCACCTTAGCCGTGGATGTCCTCTGTGCCATCCCTCTCTAGGTAGCTGTGCCTGAACTTCCCCTTTTCTTTCTGTGAATTAGGGGTCCACCCTCCGCCATTGCAATCTCACCTTAAATTGCATGTCCAATGATCCTATTTTCAAATAAGATCACATTTTAACGGGCTGTGAGCTTTAGTCATCAACACATTAGTTTGCAGGAGACAATTCAGTCCCATAATATATTGCTGTCATAGTATCTAATGGAACAGAAACAAAAGTGTGTTTTACTTTTTGTGCACAGTGGGAAAACCCCAAAGAAAGTGCTGAAAGTTACATAAAACAGAAAAAGAAAAACACCTCAGCTGTTGTGCTCAGCCTCCCAAACCAGGTGTCATCTTCTCAGTGGTCTCTCACCCTCAGAGTGCTGTACCGTAGAAGCCCAACCTAGTTCTCATCAGCAAGGCCAGATATAACTACGTAATCCTGACTTTGTAATCACTTGTAATCAGTGCAGAGTAACCTGTGCTCTTAAAGCTCTCTCACATTCTTCCACGTACAATGTGAACTGCTTTTCTTCTGTATGTGAAAACTCCATGTGGCTCTGCTGGACATAAGTGTTATCTTGTTTTCTTCCCTTGGTGGTAAAAGCCTAATTTTAAAAAATTGTTGGCATATAGCTGCTGGTTCATTCACCTGTGCTCTTTTGGCTATGTTAAGAGACATGGGTTTGCTTCTTTTCTTTCTTTTTTTTTCTTTTTTCTTTTTTTTTCCGGAACCGGGGATTGAACTCAGATCCTTGTGTTTGACAGTCAAGCGCTTATCCTACTGAGCCATCTCCCCGGCCCCATTGTTTCTTTTCTAATTTGAAAACCTACCATGATATGAAGTAGATTTGGGACATACTTGATTTTTCCATATTGTCCTTAATTCAGCACGGAATTTAGAGTCATCATAGGAAGCACAGATACTTCCCATTTTCCAGCAGACTGAGCCTTTAAACCTCAGTCCACAGGCGAGGGGGCTGTTCTAGGTAGACAGCTCCATACATCTGGAGAGTGGTAGACCCCTGAACTCTGCACGTACCTTCTTCATCGCTGTGTAGAAGCCAGCTGCGTACTGGAGCGTGGATGTTCACCGCTACACTACCTCCAGCTGATGCATGTTCTTTTGTTTCTTCCCTGTTTTAGCAAATTGACGGAGAAGCCTTTCTACTTATGACCCAAACAGACATTGTTAAAATTATGAGCATTAAGCTGGGCCCTGCTCTCAAAATCTTCAACTCTATTCTGATGTTCAAGGCTGCAGAGAAGAATTCCCACAACGAACTTTGAGGGTGGCGACCTCTCGGTCCCACCAGTTTTCTGCTTCACAGCTCATGTTTTATTCAAAGCACAAGGACGGTTAGAACTCTACATGAGAAGTCTCCAAAACTCAAAAGAGCAACACTATCGGATTATTTATATTCCTTGAGAGACAATATATGAATTCTTAAAGTACGTGAGCTTTTAACCAGGTACTGTCTAAAAACAGTCATCTTTTGGTTCTGTTCACTGAGCTAAATTTATCTTTGTAAATCTTTTTGTGGCTGGGGGGGGTGGGGGAAAGGGGGAACCTCATTAATTATTTATGGACAAAGGGGGGCAGAGTAAGAACTTTTGGCATTTTGTAAACATTGTTGAATTCTCTTTCATGTACACTGTTTCTTTTTCAATACTTTCAGAAACCTTTTTATATAATTGAATTTCAACTTAAACCAAATTAGTCAAAACCTGGCTAGATAGCCAGTGGGACTGTTACCTGTATTGTTCCTTTTGTGCCATATTTTGAATTGCAACATTATGCTAAGTATGACTTTGCCAAGTCATGATGTCGCCCAACTGCTCCTCCTCATTTGGTGGGGCTAAATAGTTGTGAAACTTCCTTTTTTTTAAATCAGTGTTTTTACTTTTGCACGCATTATGAAATGTTAAACAGATTACTTTTCACCAGCATCTTTACTATAATTACCAAAAACATGTATATAAAAGAATGGAATTGAAAAATAAAATATATCACCATAAATAAACTAGGTAGATATATGAGTGGCATCAGTCTTGCACGCCATGGTGCCCATGTGTTTACAAGAGTCCGAGGGCATTGGAGGAATGTGTGGTTACAGTTGAGGGTGCGGGAGGACTTGTGAGGGTACTGAACTGTTTGTGGGATTATTTGGAGCTTTTCTCTAGTTGTAGTGGAGGTACCTGGAGTTCTTCAGGGGTGAAGGGCCCGCTCTGCTGGTGGACACACTCATCTATAAAGCGCCATCTCCAGTCTTGCAGGGTGCCCTCCACCCACGGCTTTCTCCAGGGCTTGCTGGAAAGAGAGCACTGATTTACTGAACAGCAAGGTGTGACACATGGAGTTCTCGGGACTCACAGATGAGGACGGTGAATCCCAAAGCAATCACTCAAGATCCTGCGTTCCAGAGTAATCCCTCCTCCTTTAAAATACTTTGCCTTGATACATAACCATTCGGATGCACTTTAAATGGAAACCCTTTGACTATCTGTGAACTGATAGCTGGCAGTGTTTCTTTTATAAATATGTATTTCTAAGGGAAAAGTTATTTTGTCAGTCTTATGATGTGCTTTCTAATTGCAGGATTAGGCATTCATGGAAGGACTGTTTACAGTGAGGTTTGTAGCATGCTGTCTGAACTCCAGGCAGAGTCCTGCTGCTTTGCTGCCTGTTTCCTCCAGCATAGGACTGCCTTGGCTGGCCCTGCCGGGAGTCTGTTAGGAGCTGTGTGTACCTGGCATGCTTCAGGGTGAAGCAGGCTCAGCTACACCTGCAGTACCCCATCCATTTCTGTGCATGACTCTGCTAAAGAAGGTTTTCTTTGTTGTCCCCTTCCCTCTTTTATATTCTGTTCAGAATTTGTACATACATTCAGGTTGCATTTGTTATATCTGGTATGAATGAAATAAAATCTTCATTACAGATTCTTTTTTACATATGTATCGTTTTTCAGGAGAAGCTTCTCAGGGAGAGGTGAAATAAAAACAATAATAGAGAGGCTGGGAAGATAGCTTAAGGGCCTGAGTTCAATCCCCAGTTCCACCAAAAAAAAAAAAAAAAAAACCCAAAACACAAACAACAATAGAATCTCAAGGATAACATAAGGGCGGGGACTTAGCTCCCAGGCAGAACTCATGGCTACCATGCATGAGGCCCTTGTTTGATTCCTTACAGAACAATCTAATGTGTCTGTAAGATTTACTATTGTTTATCAAGCTATACCCCAAGAAAATGAGACAAGATTTTTGAAAAACTGTAGTTAGATCAAGTTGGGTTCATCCACCTGGGGAATATTTTCTTTCCAGTTTAAAGCATATGTGGTCATGAAAGGGCTGTTCAATCTTTCTGAAGGGACCCCTACATCCAAGCAGCATGTTGTAGGTTAGAGGCGAAGCACTGAGCATGCTTAGGGTGACAGGATTGTGTATACCTTGGGTAGAGGAAGTCTTTTTCCTACTCAACTTCTAAGATATAATCCATTTTAAAGGTTAAAACAAAAAAAAAAAAAGGAAGCCCTAATAATAAGGAAATCTCTTAAATTAGAGAGGCAGGCTGAGGATATTACAGAAGGAAAGGGTGGGGACAGTGGGCCTTCTGTCTAAAAGGTATTTTTAAATATTTTTAAACCACTGTACAAGCCAAGTGAAATCTGTCTCCAGGTTAATATTAACCCAGCCTGTCACTTGTCACTTCTAGATTCAGTGGACTAAGACCCACAGCAAATAGGGAATGCCCAGCAATACTGAATATTTACCAAGTAGCAGCACCAAGCCAGGCACCAAGGTAGATACATGACCAGAAAACATAAGGACCTAGACAGGAATCTGCGCTCAGGGTGAGCTCAGGTCTGTCGTGTTCAGGGGCCAGACCCCCCTGCAGTTTGTGCACAGCTCCGTGTGGACACCTTCCTGTGCCGCACCTAAAAGCAGCTGCCGTGGAGCCTCCCGGTGACCCAGCTCCTGGAAGGACAGGGAGCCCAGAACTGACCGACAGCACTGAAGATGCGGTGGTTAGGACAGAGCCTGGAGTTAACAAGATGCTGGAGGAGGAATGATGTGGGAAAACGAAGGGATGGCTTACGAGGAAGGAAACATTCTGTGAGACAGAAGAGAGGGAGACTGTGGGACAGGCACTGTCCTGCGCACAAAATCCCATGTGACGAGGTTCACTTCCTTTGCCTGCCTTGTGGCGGAGGGAGCCAGGGAGGAGCCGCTGTGGTCAGGCGGCGCATCTTCCTTCTCTGCTCCCTGACTAAAGGGTATGGAAAGAGGCACTGCCAGCGCGTCAGCGGTAGAACAGAATATTTCACAGGAGTTCCAGAGATGTGTACTGTAAAAGTACATCTTCAATAATCCATATTCTCTCTCCTTTAAGCTTTTCTTAGTGAATTTGATCAAACAACCCACGAAACATACATCCCAGTCTCTTTTCAGTCCCCAAACTGCCGCTCCCATTTTTGAGAACTAGGAGCACTGATATTTTCATGGCAACACTAAAGGGCACCTTAAAAACTAGTTTTTAATCATTTATCCTTCTAAAATACTGGCAAAGGGGTGAGACTGCAGTGAGCGTGAGAGCCCCAGTGTCCCTTTCCGCTGTTAACACACGTCTCGTGGGCCTTGGGCAGTAGCAGGGGGCGGCGACACCCTCCCTGAGTCTCTACAGAGGGAAGCTCCTGAACATGAATTCAGGTCACAGGCAGAACCTGTGCCTCGAAGGTCGGCTAGCGTGGAGAAGACCTCGGGATGGCATGCCCGTTAAGTGACAGTGGGAAGCCAGAATGCCTGAGGATGGGCCAGCCACGCACTCAGCGTGGGGCCAGGTGGCGAGAGTGCCATTTGTAATAGGCTCCGGTCCAGACTTTCCAAGCAGTGTTCAGAGCACACAGGCAGCCTCAGCTTCAGCGCCCTGCATCTTCCAGAAGTGGGTGTGTGAAGTTGGGCCAGGCCGTGCTCTAATCCCAGGGATTTGAAGACAGTGTCTTAGAAACGAAATCATTCTTGAAAACACAGCTTTGATCATGGAATTTCTAAGACCTCAAAATGAAGAAAGAGTTCTTAAGTATTTGTTACAGAATTTCAGAGACCTTAGAAAGTGTAAAGGTACAGTTGGAATTCAGCATCTTTGATCCAGAATGATTTGCTAATACCTACTTCTGTCCCAACCCTAAATGAAAATGATACTCATCATGCTTCTGCTGCCCTTTGATGGGTACCTTCGATGCAATATCTGGCATGGTGTTAAGTGACAGGGGCCTGAAATCCTACTTTCTTTTCCTTTTCTTTCCAAGAACAATAGGGACTACATGTGTCAAAGATGAGCGTGTCGAGGAAGTGGAGCGTTTGGGACAGCCTTCTTGGACACTCGATCTCAAAGACATGGAAGGCAGCCACGAGGGCTGCCAGGGCTGTCACACAGTCCTCCACCTTGGTGAGCTCCTCCTTGTCCAGGTATAAAGAAAATTCGCAGACGTTGACGTCAAAAGGATTTTTAACTTCCAACACAGGCGTGGACACTTGCACCTGGAAAGCAGAATGGAGTCACTGCCACGTGGCGTGTAAGATGCCGAGGAATAAAACACAGTGGCAGTAACCACAGTACCACAGTAAATGAGCTCGTGGCACTTTCGCATCTCTGTACATATGAAAAAATGGAACTCAGTGTCTACCACTACCCTTCCAAATAAATCCTATGAATATTTTATAAAATAGCAAACCAGTGTTCTTTAACACACTACTTACCCTCTCATTCACAACGGCAAAAAGGCTGGGATCATCTCCAAAAACATCTGGGAGAAGTAAACATGTGGCTGTCATCTTCATATCTGTCAAAGCAAACATGTTTATGGTCCGCATAAGAAGTTTTTAACAACATGGCGATGCTAATAGTAAAACATCTCGCTTTTGCTGCTGATGGTGGAGGTCGTGGTGATGGTGTGTCCCACCGGGCACCAGCTGGCCTTGGACAAGTGTTTCACAGCCTTTTAAAACCGGCGTCTTCTAGGAAAACTCAGAACCCCTCGTGTGTCCTCCAGGTCACAGCCAGGAGAGACAAGCATTCTGCACTCTGCCCACCAACATCATCTTGTCGTGTTTTTTCTGATTTGCATTATAAAATGCACAGGTCGCCAGATCCCCAAATACAGTTTCATATAGTGTGCATTAGTATTCAGGGCAGGTTAGGAAACTGCCAGCACTACTCTTCCCATTGGAAACGTTCTTTTTCCTTTCCACGAATTGCTACGGAAGCGTGCTTTTCCATATCCTAAATCACAGCTAACCACACTGGCCCGCACCCCCCCACACACACACGCATACTAACATTTCAACATGCCTTCATCTGTACACTGCCTCATTGCCTCCTGCAGAGCCACACTGATGGGCTTGTCCACCACCGAGAAAGCAGTCAGTACATTTTCTGAGTAGGATTCCAAAATATGCCTTGTTTTCCTATAAATATCTGTTCTTGTCAGAAGCTGGAATTCTCTGAACATCTGATTAAAAGAAAGCAATAGATCAGGTTAAAAGAAAATCTGTCTTTAATGTGAACAAGTAAGTGACTCTAGAATTACACTAAGCTTCAAAGGCCAGTTTAAAAAATACACTGGTATTTTAGTAGCATTATTGGAGAAGTAAAAACTTGAGATGGGGAGAAAAACATGAAAGACTGGAATGAATAGAAAAACATAAGTAATGGACACAGTGAAATTCTGAAAGTATGAAATTGAAACTTTGGGGAATAGTGTTTTCCACTTCCATAACAATAAAACCAGTTAAGAACTAAGTTTTAGATTCAAACTGAAGTTAACCAGGACTCCAGTCAGAGTTCTAGGACCTTACAGTTCTTCCGGCGCATACACTGTGACAGGGCCCAACAAGGAGAAAGATGAGAAAACAGTTGCATTTTAGGAAACAGCCCTTGAACAGTATGTAATCATCATGTCCTAAAAATGAAGGGGAATCTTCAAGATTGTAAATTGGCAGAGATAAAACATAAAAAATGTAGGGCCAGTGAGACAGCTCAGTGGACTAAGCACTTGCTTAGGTAAGTGCAGGGGCCAGGGTTCGATCCCTGGCACCACATACCGTGCTGGCCATGCACCCAGGTGCACTGAGCCTGTAATCCCAGCATACACACAAACCCTAAAAAAAATAAAGTTTTAAAAAATGTGAGTGCAGATTTGACTACCAAGTTGAGACAAAAATCACTTTACCTTTGTACAAGTGCCCTGTCTCAAATCCACATTTTCCTACCACTTCCTTAATTCCATCCATCAGAAAATCCCACCTGCCCCTCGCCCCCCACCCCCTCGTTGCTAGAATGGTGTCATCAAGCCATCAGTCGTGCCCATTAGCATGAGTTAACTCAGTAATTTTTTTTTCCCTAAAGCTGTAAAGCTATGTGGTCTCCACCGGGCCTCGCTGTTCCCTGGATATTTTGGTAGATCCAAAGCTGTCCAGAGATCAGGTCTGAATGCTGTCAGCAGACTGGACTCCACACTCTTGCAGAGCCAGTTGGTTCCGTTAGGCGGCACTCAGTGGGCTGCTAATGTAGCCTAATAGCTGCAGAAAATGGGCCTTAGTGGGCAGGTGGGAAACGGAGCATGGACAAGGGAAAACGTGTCCACACGTTTCACAGCCCACAGTGTAACGATCTTTCATCTATTTATTGTTTACATTGAATTTACAAAAGGGTAGAACTCACAGGTACTTTACTCTTCAAGTAAAGTCCTCCCTGTTCCAGATCCACTTGAAAACAGCCCACAGACATCATACTCTGTGGCTACTTAATTCTTCGTGGCATATTTCCTACCTGCAGGGACCCTCAGATCTGGAAAGTCTAACCCACAGGCAAGTCTCATTCAAACGTGACAGCTCTGAACATGATTTTAATAGGTTCAGAACCGATCCCAGGATCACACATGATTTAGATACCACATCCCTTTAGTCTGTGTCTGAATCATCTTGTTTTTCCTGCACATTTTTCAAAACTAGTGGCCGGTCACTCCACAGGACATCCCTCTGTCGAGGTTTGTGTGGTGTTTGCCCATGATTTGTGCATTGCAGTCAGGAGTGCTGGCCTTTCTGGTCGCTTCAGGAAGCACAAGATGGTAACACTGGGGGTGGTAACTGTTCTCACGTGGCCCAAACGGGCGCTGCTGGTCTCCACTGTAGAGCTAATCCACTTAGGCGGTGAGTGTGCTGCGGGAGGTGCTTTGGGTTTCTGTTGTGATCTTGGTCTGCATGTGGCTTTCCTCCCCTGGACTTAGCGTCCACCAGTGGCCCCTGCCTTAAGCATGCATTTCCAGCACCATTGCCGAATGGGCATTTTCTTACTCTGCCATCTCTCCATGTGTTAGTCCGCCTTCTATTCTAAGACGGAGCTTTCTCTTCTTCTACATTTACTGACTTATTTATATTTTATATCATTGCAAGTTAATACATTTCTACCTTACCCAAATGTTTTCAAATGTTTAAAAATTCAAACCTTAAATTCTTTATATAATTTTCATTGGATTATTTTTTCGCCCAGATTTGGCCAGCAAGAACTGCTTTCCTGACTCGTGTATCCTCTTGACCTATCCTATTAGTCTGGGAGCATTCTCTTCATTCCTGGCTTTACACAATATTTCCAGTTGGTCTTGTATTTTCTTATAGGTATTTGCTGCAGCTCTTGTTTCTTTTATAGAAGAATAGCATGGATAAGCTAAAATTTCAGCCCTAGATATGCTCCTTGCTATAAAGGTACTACTGCCGTGGGCTTTCTCAGGGAACAAAGCCGGGAAACACACTCTTATATACCGTGTGGGTCTTCAGAGCCAGGATGGAGTCACTGTGTCAAGCTAGTGACAAAGTTGAGCCCACAGGTTACAAAGGAGGCATCTCCTGCCCCTTTGCCTGACAGTAAGGGCCATTCCAAGAGACCTGTCAGAGCCCCGGCCTGGCACAAAGGCCACCAGGCTTCACACAGAAAGCACCTCTGTGAGTGCTTCTGTTCAAGTGCTGCTCCACCTGTGGGTTGATGCCACCTCTGAGGTTGATCCTTTGAGACAAAGATTACCATCTCAAAATCATGCAGTCCTCCTCACGCTGCCTTTAAGATGCTGCTTTTGATGTATCTTCCTTGAATACACACAGTTTACCATGTGGCCTTCCATTGCGAAGTCCTTTCCCAAATCAATGCGTTACCTTCAGCATCAAAACCGTGAGTTCATACTGATGCTTTCAGTGCCAGTCCAACACCACCTCCTCCTCCCGTGCTTCCTTCAACAAGGACCTGGCTGTCAGCATCCTCAGCCTACTCACTGAGGGTTCAACCCCCCCAGCTCCCTGCAGCCACACTCCCGGCTGTGTGTAGCCATCACAACCCCAAGCTTTGTCTCGTGGCTTCATCTCAATCCTTTTCCTTCTTGTTCCTCAGATCAGACAATTTCTATCAGTCTGTCTGCAGGGTCACAGCCCCTGTCTCTGTTTTCTCAGGGTGCTGTTACCCAGGGCTATTCTCATTCCAGTCAATGTTCTTTCCATTTCTAACTCAGTCTGGCTCATTGTTGATCTATCAGGTTTTCGGCTGAGATTCCCTGCATGACACATAGAGCCCACCGGTCCCTGTGTTCCCCACCCTCCTGATCTGGCTTTCTGACAGTGAACCTACTTCACAGCTAAGAGGCAGTGCTCTAGGGCTGGGACCAGCCTCTCCAGGCCGGTACAGACTCCAAGGCACTGTATCTCCTCAGGCAGGGCTCAAAAGCTCAGGGTCAAGGGACAGACACCACCGTTGGGAAGGTGTTAGGATACAAGTGTGTTCCTTTAAAGGATTTTTCACTTTGATCTGCATGGCAGTCATATGACTGGTTGCTCCCTCTGGTCCTGTTAGAGTGTATTTTATCAGGTTCACGCAGGACTGTAAGGTTCTGCCTCAGTCACAGAGTATCATGGTTTGTGTCTGGTTGTCCTCCCAAAGCCTCAGCGGTCACTGGGGCAGGATTCTAGAGTTTCTGATTAATTCATGATCCAATGCTGGGATTATGGGTGTGAGTGCTACACTCACCCTGGGGATGATAGCCAGAATACATTGTAGAAAAGGAGAGAGGCTTGCTAGCTGCTGAGGCCGCTGCTCCTCCCTTTGTTCTTTGCTGCCTTCTGCCACCATGAACTGCTGCCCTCTGCCATGTGCCACTCTGGCTTGAAACCAGCTAATTAGGGCCTGAAACCTCCAGTAACTATGAGCTAAATAAACTTTTCCTCCCATGATTTTGGGTGTCAGGTATTTTGTCCCAGCAATGAGAGAAAAGTAACCCAGACACAGCAAAATCAAGTTCAGGACCTGAGTCTGATGCAAAGGTGTGGACTCTGGGGTGTGAGCACAAGCCTGCTGCACTCTGGAGGTCTGAGTGCTGGACCAGAGGTCTTTATCCTTGCTGAGTTGAAGCAGAGGACAAAGGTGTGGTAGAATGGTTTCAGAGGAGACCAGGAGAGTTTGCTGATCCTGCCCCTGACACCTGCTGGGGAGGGCGGTTTACAGTTCCTCCAGCCCTGGGTGGTGGGATGAGGCCAAACCTTGTACCTGATGCTAGTCTTCTAGTGCAAGATCCACTGGGTTTCCACCCTGAGGTCAGAAGGGAGCTGGCTGCAGTCCGGGCTGCTGGCCTGCCCGCTCCACCCTGCGCCCCTTTCCAGAGCACCTTCCCCTCTGCTGCACTCTTTTGCTCCTTTGTCTCAGATAAACGTTAAGCTTTCTCTTCATTGACTGTTCCAGTCCTATCCTTTGAACAAGACAAGAAGAGCCCAGGAAGGGCTAAGTGGTCTCATCTGCAGGACCAAGTGACAGGATGACCTCAGGCAGCAGGTGGTTCCTGGCCAAGGACCCCAAGGGGCTCTGCGTCAGAACACAGCCTCCCCCTGCTCTGCGCAGGGACTGTGGCCTTTCTCTGAGCCACGACCCAGGGAAGCATCTGCCCCAGAAAGAGCAGTGCTCCTTTGTCTCAGATAAACGTTAAGCTTTCTCTTCATTGACTGTTCCAATCCTCTCCTTTGAACAAGACAAGAAGAGCCCAGGAAGGGCCTCCTGCCACTGTGAATGGCTCCTGAGCTCCGGGGCTGTGGGCGTGGGTGTTGTGGAAGGAAAGCAGCTGTTGCCAGTGGTAGTCAGTCCTGGCCCTCACCACTGCCCACCCACACCCCTGCGGTGGGCCTTCTCCCGCCTCCCTTCCAGGCCCTTAACCAATGCCAGGGCACGGGCATCCCCTGCACGTTGCCCTGTGAGCAGTACTAAAGCTCTGTGCCAGTGGGAGGATTTAGCCAGGTTGGTGGCCTCCCTGAGCCAAAGGCAAAGTCAGGTCCTTCACCAAAGTTTTACAGACCTGATCAGCTTTATCCTTATGTAGAGCACTTAAGCTTCATTGCTTCTGTTCTTTGTTATTTGGCTTTCTACTGCGCTGTTTGTTTCCATGGTGGAGGTTGGAGGTGAGACGGGATCTTGTCCCCTTGCCCTGGCCTGGCTCCTGAACACCTGGCTTCCACTGGTCTTCCTGCCACAGCCTTCTAAGAGGCTGAGTGGGATCATCCACTGCAATCCACCCAAGTGGGATCATCCAGTGATTCTTTTTTTTAAAGTTTTCTAACAAGGTGTTTTGAGGAGAGAAGGCCCATGAGTGCAGGGGTGCGGGTGGGGAGTGGTGAGGGCCAGGACTGACTACCACTGGCAACAGCTGCTTTCCTTCCACAACACCCACACCCACAGCCCCGGAGCTCAGAAGCCATTAGCAGTGGCAGGAGTGAAGGCCAGTGGGGTGGCCCGCAGCAAGGGCAACCCTCCTGTGATGGGGACTGTTGGAGGAGCTACCTAGTAAGGCAGGTGTGATGAAGCGCTGCTGCAATCTCCGCATCCAGGAAGCTGAGCAGGAGGAGGGTAGCGGAGGCCCAGTCTGGGGAATGTAGTGACCTAGTAAAGCCTTGTCAAAACTCAGAAAAAGTAATTCATAAACAAGTAAATAAATAAAGGGAAGGTCAAGTTTCCTTTCATTTTAGGAAGCAGAACAGGGTTTTAGAAGCTTCAGCTTCCCGGGACTGAGTTAGGCAGGTACATCACAGAGAAACTGAAAATGTTGAATTCTTTTGTTTAAAAACAGACAGGGCTGCGACGCAGCTCAGCAGCACAGCGCCTGCGAGCCAAGCATGAGGTAGTGCGCTTGATCTTCCTGCCTCAGCCTGCGAAGAGGCCGAGTGGGGTCAGCCAGTGCAACCCATCCAAGTGGGATTGCCCAGTGATTTTTTTTTTT